CCCCCCCCCCCCCCTCTGGCCAGGGAACACATTGGGGGGCCGAATCCGGAAGGCGCACTCGCGGTCTGGTCCTCTCGGCATGCCTCCCCGCCCGGATTGCGGCGTGTCCAGCGCCTGGTGGGTCTTTGGCCAGCCGGCCGGAGACCGATGGGCGGTGGTCCCTCGGGCAGGCAGCCGGCGGGTATCCTGCCTGCCCCCGCCCCCTCGGGCCGCTCCGTTGGAGGTCCCCTGGCAAGCCGGGCCCCGCGGTGGCGGTTTCGAGCTCGGCCCGTCTCCGGCGAGTGTCTCTCTGGTCAGGGGGGGGGGGGTGGTTGCCCGAAATGGGGGTGTTCCATCAGCCCCAGCATTCCTCCGTGGTAGGGGCCGAGGAGGGGCGAGCACCGTGGCAGCCCCGCAGACGAGGCGAGCACCGTGGCAGCCCCGCAGACGAGCAGGGCCCCGGGGCAGAAGGGGACTAAGGATGGTCCGCCTCAGGTCCCCATCCGTAGGGGAAAGCCTATCACCGGGGGGCACACCGAGTCCTTGTCGCGCGGCGTGTCCTTCCGCGGGGCGGGGGGCGAGAAACAAACAGGAGCACCGGAGCGCGAGCGCACATTTGCACACACGAATACACAAGTGTTGGTAGTCTCCATGTGGGGCGGGGCGGAATGCCTCGACAGCACATGGGCATGTACCGTGACCCCGGGTCGAGATGCCCAAAGGGGGCCGAGTCGCTTCCGTGTGATGTGTCACGGGGCGATTTCACAGCGTGATGGTATCGGGGACAAAGCGAACGCCACCAGGCAGGGCAGCTATCGGGACATGCGGTTGGACGCCATTGCATCCATTTGGAGCTGTCCTTTTGCATACCCGTCCCCTCGCTGGCAGGCCGGTGTCGCGACATTCCAGCGGCATCGCCGCGTTTCCGGTCGCCCCGGTCCCGGTCTTCACCCCCCCCCCTCGGTGGCAGAAAGGGGCGAGGTAGAGAGAGACAGAGAGAGAGGGACTCGCGAAAAGGAGAATAATGCGCCATAATATATTCGACAAATGCTTGAGCATCCTTCCACTGCACTCGACACAAGACATCCGGCAGGCCAGCGCCCTTTGTGGTAGTGGGCGGGAAGTGCCTCGCCTTTGGTGGGCACTTTTGGCGCGCATTCCGCCCACCCATCCCGGCGGAGCATTCGGTCTCGGACTGGTGGGCTTTTTCTCCCGCCGGCCCAAGAGGGCTGTAATGTGCCCCCGGCCGGCCCGGTCCCTGGCAACAGGGAAGTGGCCCGCCAGGGTAACGGCCAAGGCGTGGGCACCACCACGCCCGACCCTTTGCCTCCGCCGGTTCCCGCAAGCCCCTGGCATCGCGCTCGCCCGGGCCTCCGAACATGCTGCGCCTGCCTGTGCGCCGCTCCTCCTGCCTCCCTCGCCCGCGTCGCGCTCTGCCGCCGCCTCTCTCCGGGTGTGTGTCGTGCCATCGGCCAGCATCCGCGGAAGCGGGGGGATCGTGATGCAATACCCCCTGAGCTGCTTTCCCCGCTCCACGTGGATGTCGGCCTCGATGTGTGCGTTGTACGAGCGTCTGTGTGTGTGTGTGTGTGTCTATGCTCGTGTGTCGGCAAGACCCGGGCGGTCCAGGCTCGTCCCCAGATAATGCGTACCCCATTCCAATCCCCGGGTGTGCTTCCGAAAAGCACCGGGCGAGCCGGGGTGGCGACCGACCCGCGTCGGCCTTTCCCCGGACTCGAGGTGATCTCCCACGGGGCGGTCCGCGTGGATATTGCGCGCGTGTAGGCGGCTTTTCCCCCGCCCTGTTCCGGGGGCTCCTTCGCTCTTTCTTGCTCGGCCTCCCTGCCGGGCCAGACACGCCCGGGCCCCTTCCGCCGAAGGGGCGCCGGTTTTTCCGAGGGCCCACGCAGGGCCGAGGTGCTGGTCCAAGGGCCAAAAGGACCGGAGCCCCGAAATATATTAAGTTCGCCCGGCGGCCCCTTTCCCCCTCGGGCCCGGATGTTCGGGGGTAGCGCCCTTCCTCGTGCGGCCCGTTTGCCCGCCTCTCCCAGCCGGGCGGGGCCCCGTGCGAGCGCCGCCCTGGCCCCGGCGAGTGTGGCGCATTCCAGCCGGCCTGCGCCCGCTGCCGCCGGGCGATGTGAAACCGCCAGCCACACTCAGGGGGCCTGTGCTGGCCACCGCCCGGCCGCTATGTAGTTGGCATGCAAGGGGCTCTCGCCCCGCGCCTGGGCCCGCTGCTACTGCTGCTGCTGTTGCTGTTGCTGTGATGTCCCTCCGCCGGCTGCCGCCGACTGTGGCGG